GAATAAAGACAGTTTTATGTCTTCCATCCCAATCTGTATATCTCTTATTTCCTTCTCTTGCGTTATGGTATTAGCAAGCACTTGGGGTACAATGTTGAAAAAGAATTGTGAAAGGGATCATCTTTGCATTGTACCTGATCTTAGCAGGAACCTTTGAGTTTCTCACGATTAAGTGTGATGTTAGCTCTAGGTTATTTTGTAGATAGTCTTTATCAAGTTGAGAAATCTCCCATCTATTCCTAATTTACTGAGAGTTTTTATCATGAATGGGTGTTGAATTTTGTCATAGGCTTTTTCTACATCTACTGATGTGATCACGTGATTTTTCTTTTTTAGACTGTGGATGTACTGGGTTACATTAATTGATTTTTGAATGTTTAACCAGGCTTGCAGACCTGGAATCAGTCCCACTTGGTCGGTGGTGTATAATTCTTTTTATATTGTTTTGGATTCAGTTTGCTAATTGTGGTCTGAAAGCAGACATTGTATGGTTTCTATTCTTTTAAATTCGTTAAGGTGTGTTTTATGGCCCAGAATGTGGCCTGTCTTGGTGGATGATGTATATGAACTTGAGAAAAATGTGTATGCTGTGTTGTTGGATGAAGTAATCTATAGATGTCAATTATATTCAGTTGATCAGTGGTGTTGTCGAGTTCAACTATGTCCTTACTGCTTTTTTATTGCCAGATCTGTCCATTTTTGAGAGAAGGATATTGAAATATCCAACTATGATAATAGATTCATGTATTTCTCCTTTCAGTTCTATCAGTTTTTGCCTCATGTAGTTGATGCTCTGTTGTTAGGTGTATACAGTTTAGAATTGTTATGGCTTCTCGGAGAATTGACTCCTTTATCGTTACGCAATGCCCTTCTTTATCTGTGGTAACTTTGCTTGCTCTGAAGTCGGCTGTGTCAGAAATTCACATAGCTACTCCTGCTTTCTTTTGATTAGTATTAGCATGGTATACTTCTCTATCCATTTCCTTTTAATCTGTACATGTCTTTATATTTAAAGTGGGTTTCTTGTAGACAGTGTATCGTTGGGTCTTGTTTTTTGATTAACCCTGACAATCTCTGTCTTTTTTTTGGTTTTTTTTGGCTGCATTGGGTCTTCGTTGCTGCACGTGGGCTTTCTCTAGTTGCAGTGAACAGGGGCTACTCTTTGCTGCCGTGCGTGAGCTTCTCATTGCGGTGGGAAGATCCAGGAAGATCCCACATGACACGGAGCAACTAAGCTAGTGCGTCACAACTACTGAGCCTGCACTCTAGGGCCCGCATGCCACAACTACTGAGACCATGTGCCACAACTACTGAAGCCCACACACCTAGAGCCTGTGCTCTGCAACAAGAGAAGCCACCGCAATGAGAAGCCTGTGTACCGCACGAAGAGTGGCCCCCGCTCGCCACAACTAGAGAAAGCCCCCGCCCAGCAATGAAAACCCAACGCAGCCAAAATTAATTAATTAATTATTTAAAAAAAGAATTCGCCTGCCAATGTAGGGGAAACGGGTTCAAGCCCTGGTCTGGGAAGATCCCATATGCCACGGAGCAACTAAGTCTGTGCGCCACAGCTACTGAAGCCCGCGTGCTTAGAGCCCGTGCTCCGCAACACGAGAGGCCACCGCAACAAGAAGCCCCCGCACCGTGACAAAGAGTAGCCCCCGCTCAACGCAACTAGAGAAAGCCCTCGCGCACAGCAACGAAGACCCAATGCAGCCATAAATAAATAAATAAATAAATAAATGTCCTTCTAAAAAAATAAAAATAAAAAATATATATCTCTTCTGTTCCTTTTGCTCCTTCTTCTCCCAGTATTCCCATTATGTGTATGTTACACCTTTTGTTGTTGTCCCACAGTACTTGGAATGTTCTGTTTTTCTTAGTCTTTGTTCTCTTTGCCTTTTGGTTTTTCTGTACCTATCGAACTATCCTCAGGTACAGAGATTCTTTCCTCAGCAGTCCAGTCTACTAATAAGCCCATCAAAGGTATTCTTCATTTCTGTTACAGTGTTTTTTATCTCTAGCATTTCTTTTTGATTGTTGTATGATCAGGCCACCCAAGATGGCTGTTCTCTTGCTCTCTGTACATCCCTGTTCAACCAGTCCCTGCCTTACCTACACCCTACTCACATGACTGACCTTCCCTCTTAATCATATAGCCTAATCAGTAAATGTCTGCTACTTGCCCCAGGTTCCAGCAAGGGATTGTTCTAACCTTTAGATCACAAAGTCTCCACTATGATAGTTTCACCATCATACTAGTGTTGCCACCATAGAGGGGCAGTGAGGGGCGTGCTGAGGTCAATTCCCTCTATCACCGGTAACCTGGCTCTCCTCTACCCACCCACCCCCATGGTAGTGAATACTGCTGCCTGCCACCTGCTGCACAGAGCAGGGTGTTGCTCCAGGACCTTGCTTCAGGCATGTAAGATCCCCCTATCCACTAAGCCATTGATGTCTCTGTCCTCGATCCTGGGCTCTTTCCTCAGCCTGCAGGCTGGGCAAGTACAGGGCTTGCAGGCCTGTGGGGTGCAGCCCAGTAATTGTTTCTTAGAACATCCATCTCTTTGCTTACATTGCCCATCTGTTCTTGCATGCTATCTACTTTATCCCTTAAAGCCCTTAGCATATGAATCATAGTTGTTTTAAATCCCTAGTATGATAATTACAACATTCTTGCCATGTCTGGTTCTGCTTATTTGCTCTATCTCTTCAAATTGTGTTTTTTGCCTTTCGTTATGCAAGCAGAGAGGGTAGGGACTCCCCAGAGAAAGAGAACCAGGCATGGCTTTCTTGACAGAAGAGAAGCCATTTGGGGCCTAAGCCATTCTGTAATCTAAGCCTGGCCACAGTGCTTGCCCTTGAACAGGTCTGAGTATTTAATGATCTTAAGGGAACAAAAGAATGCAGAAACAAAGGACTGTTATCAGGCAAGAGAAGTAACAATAGCAAAGATCAGGAAAAAAAAAAAAAAGATAGCAAAGATCAGTGGTAAAAACTCCCCGTTCCGTTTCAGTAGTAAAGATTAACCTGGGGGTTTCCCTGGTGGCACAGTGGTTGAGAGTCTGCCTGCCGATGCAGGGGACACAGGTTCGTGCCCCGGTCCGGGAAGATCCCACATGCCGCGGAGCGGCTGGGCCCGTGAGCCACGGCCACTGAGCCTGCGCGTCCGGAGCCTGTGCTCCGCAAAGGGAGAGGCCACAACAGTGAGAGGCCCGCGTAAGGCACACACAAAAAAGAAAGATTAGCCTGAAGAGCTCAACCACCACATCAGCTGGAAACTGAGGGGTGATGTTGTTGACCTTTTCTGACCCTCAACTAAAGCTTGGACTCTGTCAGACAGCCCAAGCCCCTCCATGAACATGCAGGGGCCCTTAGCTTAACACTTCCCCAGTTTTGCTGTTTGGGGTGACACTGCTTTGGGAAAGATCCCCAGTGTTCTCCTTACTGTGGCTGCAAGTGAGAAATCCTTCTTCCTCCCTATCTTTGGCCTGGTTGTCTTTTGGCTCGACACCCACCAAAAGGGGAACCCCGTTTTGGGGTAACAGTTTTTTCTTGATAGCCAGACACAATGTACCAGTAAAAGAAAGTGCTGTAAATAGGCCTTTAGTAATGTGGTGGTGCGGTGTGAGGGGAGGGAAGGCATTCTGTAGTCCTCTGTAGGTCTGTCCTTCAGTCAGCCTATGCCTCTGTACTGTGAATTTCACAAGTGTTTCTCCCCGCTTGTGCGGAGAGGATGGATGGAAGGGGGCTGGAGTTGGGTAATTTCTCTTCTCCCACTTGGAAGGCTAGAGTTGGGTCTCTCCCTACCTGTCAGTTAGGCTCTGACAATACCCCAGCAGCTTAGGCTCTGGCGAACTAGCTTCCCCTCAGGGCAGACTTTGTTAAGAAGGACAGAATGCTCTGGAGTATTTCAAAATGGTTTCTTTTCTCACACCGGTGCGGGAAGGCTGAGGGGATTTTTCTCACACGTTTATGATGGGAGCTCCTGGAGGTACATTTCACAGCATTGTGCAGGCGCCCTGTGACTGGGTCCCCTGGACTTTTTAACGCTCAGAGCCAACTGAACCTCCAGCAGTTATCGATTACAGTTCAGGTTTTTGAACCACAGCCCTGGTTTCTGTGTCTTCCTACATTCACCTGTCTTTCCAGTCCGAGGGCAGCAGTTTGCCTGTGTTCTCCCCTGTCTTACAGATCCAAGAAGAATCGTTGGTTTTTCACTCTGTTCAGTTTTTACTTGTTGTTAGGATGGAATGGTGACTTCCAGGCTCAATTATATGTGGAACCAGAAGCGGGAAGGGCTCTCCTTCCGCCCTTCACATTACAAGTCCACCAGGTGAATTCTCCACCGGTCTTAGCTAGAGAGACTTAGGTGAGTCAGGAACTTTACCAAGATACCACATCCTCCAGGTCATCCCAAAGAGTCACTAAAGCCAGAAGCATCACTCCCAGCCCTGCTCCACAGAAAAGGCTGGGAGACAGACAGTTGAGGGGGACCATATGCAAAGAAGAGACACATTTCAAGTTTTCTGAAATGACTTGAGACTCAAGACTCTACAGCATAGTTCAAGCCTTGCCCTGTGGGACAGCATCTGGTTCCCAATGTGATTAGGGGAGAAATGCATAACTGAGTGAAATAGGGAGCCCCAGTCTCCCTGTCTTCCATTCTAAGAGCTTATGCAAATTATGGCTGCTGAGTTAGACTTAAAATAATTACGTTAGTGACACCAAGCTCTAGGTTCCTTTCTTCTTCTGATGCAAAATCTTCCGCCTAGGAGGGGAACTCTTTTACAAACTATTTGGAATCAAAATACAGCTCTGTAACTGCACAAAATATCCACAGTTAGGAAGCTTCTTGTTGCAGTTACCTAGCTGACTACAAAAAAATCGGGCCTGGAGGAGTCCACTGCCGCTGCAGCCTACTCGCTGCATCAGCCGTTACCCTCTCGCGGACCCTGTTCTGAGAGGATCTCACCCTAGAAAAGACCAAATACCCACCCTTGATCTCCATAGCCTGTTTTATTTGAGGCCCCAGTATGGGGGTGATTACAGTTTGCAGAGCTGTGTACCATAACAGCCATTAGGGTAACCTTGAATTTCTCTCAGCCATTCTTCCTAAGAACAATTGAAAACATCTTCACAGTAAGAATGTCATCAGGTTTGCCTTCTCACCAACCCCCAAAAGAGGAAATGGGGCAAACCCCTTCCCTTTGCATTAAAAGGAAACATGAGGCCTGGAGACCTCAAGGACTTATTCAGGGTTCCACCTCCCAGCAGGGCAAAGAGCTATTGAGGGTCCCCACCTTCTGTTTCCAAAATGCTGGAGGACAAAGATGTGACTGTTTCTCTAATTTGTATCATTTTCTCTCTTTCTCATATGGGCATTTCTGGATTGGGGAGTCCCTCCCAGTCTCCTCCATTCCCTCCCCCTCCAGCGCAGAGCAAATAGCATCTCAGTCCGACAAGAGCTCTCACTGCCCTCACGCCCCTTTCTAGCTCGAAGCTCTATTGGGTAGGAGACACCACGTAGGCTGTGGCGATGTGCTTCTTGCCATTTCCGTAGGTTGACTTGTCCCAGGTATAGGTCTGGATGGCCAAGGGATGTCCACCCAGGCTTAACTGGCACCTGTGGGGAAAGATCAGCAAATCGTAGGGACCTGCTTCACTCCACCTCCGTCCCCAAGCTGGAAGGATGAAGTTCAGCCCACGCGGAAGGGCTCCACCCTGTCTTAGCCTCTAAGGGAGCTGCCACAGCTCGCTTCAGCGTCTGCCTCTGGCTCCCCACGTGCAGAGGGCCCTCTTAAACTCTGTCTTCTTTTCTGTCTTCTTAGAGAATACTGCTTCTCATCTGTCCTACAGGAATATTCTCAAATCCAACTCTAGAGCTGCGACCTCCAGAAATGAAATGTCCGCTTAGGGTTTCAGAAGTGGTTGGGCCCAGAGTCCTCAAATGTTAGAGAAGATGAGGGCCAGTGGTTTCTAACTGTACTCTCTGGGGCTCCAGCGTTCCCCCAAGCAGCCTCAGGGGCCAAACAGAGAGGCTTGCAGCCCCAGGGCAACTCCATTTCTAACTGTTTTGTATATTAAGCTCCTGCATACGATTGCACTTGGAGGAGGGAGGGGATGTGGTTCTGCTGCTGGGGTGAAGGTTGGCAGCTACACGACTGATCTGATCAACTGCTTCACGTTCCAAGACAGAAAACCGAGGCCCAGAACAGTGATTTGTCCAAGCCCTCCTGAGCCACCAGGACTTACACTTTGCCTGGCCTGGCGATGAAGCACAGGGAGTAAAGGGCAAACTCAAACTCGGGGCTGCTGCCGATGAAAGCTGAACCCATTTCCTTGTAGTAGCCGTCCCAGCTGAACTGCAAGGCCAGCACCCTGGGGTAAGAATCCCCCTGCGGAGAGAAGGGCGGTAAAGGGGGTCTGCTGAGTGCCACAGTGCGGAGTCGCACAGAGGGTTGGCTAGGATTTGTCGAGGGCCCGTGGGGGTCTGTGTGAGCTCCCTGGGGAGACTGGATTCTTTAAATCGACAGACGATGCAGTCTTCCCTGCTAGGGTATCTGAGTCCTGCGCACACCCTCTCTCTGGAGCCGCCAGCTCGCATCTCCCAGAAAGGCCACAGTCAGCATCCATGTGCCCGATGCCAGGGGAGCAGGGACATAACCGTTTCCTGTGGCACTCACATGCGGAAGAGAAGGACAGCTTATTGCCCCCAAATTATTTCCAGGCTCAGGGCAGCAAAGGGTTCTTTTTTTTTTATAAAAATATAAGAAGTTTAACTCAGACTAGCCAGACTGAAACTTCAGCTGACACCACATTCTAAGGAAATTCAGGTTTTGCGTTTTCCCCTCTAAGGATTCTCCCCTGCCCACACTCTCCCATCCAGGGAGGACGCCCTCTGCCCCCTGCCCCCTGCAGCTCGGGAGCCTTCACTGTTTGGAAGCGTCCTGGCTGGCTAAACCCTCTTTCCAGCAAATGGGGAAGTCCTATTCACGATCCCCGTTAGACTGCCAAGAGGGTCAGGGTGGGAGACAAGTCTGCCTGTTTGGAATTCAGAACGAGGACAGGATGTCTGGGTACTGACGGCGCTTTTCCAGCCCACGGGGTCAGCACTCAGTACTCACGGGCCCGTCACAGATGTGACTGTAATAGTCAACCAGACCCTCCTTCTCCTGCATGTAGAAGTGGATCCAGTTATGGAAGCCAGAGACCTTGCCTTTTTTGACTTCACCTGTAATAAACAGATCAAGGTGGGTGATCTGGGCCTCCCCTCCGACCTCTTTCCCCACTCCCGTGCCAAGGCTGTACCCCTTCTCCAGTCTCTTATTCCTAGAATGTCCACCCCAACTTCCCAGAGTCCCTCACGCCCCTAACTCTCACCTCAGAAAGCTACACACACACACACACACACACAACTCCCATTTCAGCTGAAGCCCTTGGGAGAGTTCCTTCTCCCCAGTGACCCTGGGCCATTCTGAGATACTCCTCTAGCCATTTCCCTAGGAGCAAGCCAGACTTGGTGGGAGCCTTACGCTGGGGCAATGGGGCCTCCTTAGGAAACTGCTGACCAAGCCCTGGAAGCAGAGGACCATTGAGAGGTAGACAGCCAGGGCCTCAAACACGTCTCTCTTCTTACGTGTGCACCTTGGGAGCCCCGGTGTCTGGGCTTCTTTCTCCCTCTGATACTCCAGAAGAAACTGGCCCTCAAACATGGCCCCTCAGTCCCCTCCCTCTTGGCCAGGGAGCAGACGTGCCCTGCCCTGCGAGCTGGCTCGACTACTGATTCATCGGTGCTGATGCTGCCCTGTGCCTGAGGGAAGCATCTCTCTTCATCCCTCCAACTCTTTCTTCCCAAGCAGAGTAATCCCACCTAAGAAGACATGTTCAAAGCCGCCTGAGTCCCCGTCTTCTTTGCCTCTTGAATACAGCCCAAACCACATGTTTTTCAAGTCGTTGACGAACTCCTGTTCTGTGCTGTAGCGGTCTGGGGAGAGGAACACAGAGGACTGAGGAGAGGGGAAGGCAGGGCCAGATCCTGGAAAGCAAGGAAGGGCCACCTGCTCCAGCGTGACAAGAGACAGGTGGGTTCTGCCAACATAGTCAGTTGTTCGCTCAGCAGTTATCTATGCCATAGATTCTATGGGGCGCCTGTTCTGTGCCAGGCCCAGATCTAAAGGCTGAGGATTCATCAGGGAATCACAAGGACAAGATTCCTGTCTTTATAGTTTATATTCCGGTAGAGGAGACAGATAATAAACAAACAATAAACGGTATGATTTCACATAAGTGCTATGAAGAAAATAAAGCAGATTGTCCCATGATGCCTGGAGGTGGGGTTCGGGTGGGAGCTTTTCTAGAAAGGCCTCTCTGAGAAGGTAGCACTGATCAGAGACCTGAAGGGTAAGGAGTCAGCCATGCAAAGACCTGGGGGAAAGAGCCTTCCACGTAGAAGGAGCAGCAAGTGCAAAGGCTCCAGGACACCCCGGTGTTTAGAGAGCTGAGGGCCCATGTAGCTGGAGCACAGCCAGCAGGAAGGGAGAGTGGTAGGAGAGGAGGTCTGAGAGGCAGGCAGCTGCCAGCCCATGCAAAGAAGGTTGGAGCTCAGTCAAACCTTAACAATAAGAAAAATAGTTTCGATTTACTGAGTTTGTTCTGTGTACCTGGCACTGTTTGAGTGCTTTCAATCCTCACATAGATTCTTCATGTCAGGTTGTTACCAGGCGTTCCTGGTGGAGGAAATGGAGGTGGGGAGTGGGGAGGTAAAGAGAAGAATCAAATATAACCCCTGGGCTTTGGGCCTGAGCAACTGGATGAAGTATGGGGTCATTTATGAGATGGGGAAGATGAGGAAGAAGCAGGTCTGGAGGAAGAAGCAGGTCTGGAGGAAGAGGCAGGAACCGTGAGTTCTCTTTACCCTAAGTTCTGAGTAGATGCCAGTCAGACAGGCAGGGAAATGTCAGGGCTGGAGATCTGAATTAGAGAGCTAGCAACTATCGACGGTTCACTGCCCAGAATTGTGTGTAGAGGACGCTAAAGAGATACCAGGCATATTCCCTCCTTTCAAGGACTTAAAACACGGTTGGGTGGTCCAGTGGTTAAGAATCCGCCTTCCAGTGCAGGGGATGGGGTTTCGATCCCCGGTCAGGGAACTAAGATCCCACATGCCGAGGGGCAGCTACTGAGCCTGCGTGCCACAACTAGAGAGCCCACGCACCAGTTGCAACTACTGAGCCCACACGCCACAACTAGAGAGAAGCCCGCGCACCTCAACGAAGAGAAAGCGTGCCGCAACTAAGACCCCACGCAGCCAAAAATAAAAATAAAATACAATAAACAGTTTTTTAAAACCACGCAGTTGGAAAACAAGACTAAGAACACACGATATAATAGAGAACGCCTTCACAATCTGAATGGCTACAGCTTACCGGGTGCCAGGCTTTCCACTGAGTGTTTTACATGCATGAATCCCCCAAGACCGCATTGCACAGACAAGGCTCAGTTGGGGTCTGAGGGTCAAACGGCCCAGGATCCCTTGCGTCATTAGCAAGTGAAACCAAGTCTCTCTGGCCCAAGGCTATTTTAGGACACACTCCAAACCCTTGACCTCTGAAGAGACTCCGAAAGCCAGCTGTGAGCTGCAGCAAGTGCAGCTTCATAAATGAGGTGGAATGTGAGCTAGAACTTTAAGGATAAGTGGGATTTGGACAGGGAGAGAGGCGCAGACCGGGTGGGTAGTGGAACAGCCTGGACTAGGGCTCAGTCTCGACCTCCAAGATCCTCTCCTGTGTTTACTACAAGGAGAACACCAGGGGGCAGTGCAGGATCGCGCCCTCTTCACGGGGCTTGCTTGTGTGTCACCGGCTTTACCTAAAAACAGTGTTACTAACTCTTAACGGGGCTACCGGAGGATGGAATGCAACGGCTCCGAGCAGAGGCGATCCCACGGCCAGCAAGGGATGACCAGGACGGAGCCACCCCCAGGCAAGGCCCAGCTGCCCGGAGTTCAGGAAAGGAATCTGGAGGACACCAACAAACACACCGCATGCCAAGAAGTCCTGCGGCCCAAACCTTTTTTGGTCTGATTCACATGTATCTGTATCTGGAGTCTCTCCAACCAGAACCCTTCCCAGTATCACGTCCCCCTCTGAACCTTTGTTGATTTTCTGTTGCTGTGTCCCCAGCAAAAATGTGGAATGGGCCGGCCTCCTTCCTGGACTTAGTGCCCGATGAGGGAGCGGGGGCAGGGACCCTACGTGCCTGCAAAGCGGTGCTGAGTCCGGGATCAACTCAGGTGGCAGAGGAGTGCCCTGGGGGCTGAGCGGGAGCTGGGTGACTCACGGCCTGCGGAGAACCCTGAGACCGAAGCAGCAAGTGGGGGGCAAACCAGGCTGCTAAGATTAGGTCAAAAGATGGGCTGACTTCGAAGCCGGACAGAGGATTTTTCAGCTCCTGCTTGGGTCTGTGGTCTCTTCTAGGCCCCTCTCTGTCCCCTCCCAGAGGTCCACTGGCCTCCACCTAGTCCCCACCTGCTCTCTTAACCTGCCCGCCGTGGAGCCCCCAGGGGTGCCTGGCCCGCTGTGGGCACACCGCATCCTCAGCAGGGCCTCCCTCTCTCTCGGGGCCTGGGGGAGGCCTCACGGCGTCACTCACTCTGCTGGTGGAGGAAGCCGTAGAGTTCCTTCATGACGGCCGTCTTCATAACCTCGCTGAGGAAGGTGTCCTGCTCAGCCAGGTGCTGGGCTGTGAAGTGCTCCCCGCGGCCCACGGCCCGCTGGTAGTTGTCGAGGAGGTTGATGAAGGCGGCGTAGGTCGGCTTGGAGAAGAGCTTCTCATTGACATACGTGAAGAGCCTGGGGCAGGTAGAGGGAGGCCCAGTGAGAGGCCTGCACGCGGAGCAGAAACCCCTCCAGAACTTCCAGGTGCAGGGGCGGGCATGAGAGGGTTGGGTTCAGAGGCAGAGTGGGGACTTCACATACTCTTGGGGACAACGCATGAGGTCCCTCTTTTCTTCCACTTCATCTCTTGGAAGGTCAGTTCTATTCTCAGCCCAGCCAGTCCCAGAAACCCTCCCAAATGGATCCCCACAGGTCCTCAGATGGCTTTATCTGTCTCTGGAGACCTATTTTTTCCCTCTCCCTTTGGTCCTGCCTGCCTTGAGGAGAAAAGAGCTGAGGCACCAAAGCGAGCAAAGCTGGGGGAGAGACTGCAGGAAGAGGCCTGAAGGGAACTCACGGCTCTGGGCAGCGGTCTACTTGGTCTCTGGCCTCCGAGGGCGAGATGCACTTTTGGCGATTGAGAACAATGTCTTCCTCCTGGGCTTTGTTGGTATCTGCCCTATAGATCTTCTCAGAGATGCTCTGCGTTTCCCCCTTCGTTATGGCATCGCTGGTGTGGGAGAAACCCTCTGGGAGGAATTGGGGGAGGGGTATTTCAGAGCCCGAGGGAGGCCAGGGGGCAAGCAGCTGTCTGTGTGCATCCCCTCCTGGGCACCTTCCAGAAGCCCGCAGCGGGGGAGAGGGGCTGCAATCAGGCGCCCTAGTGATTGTAGGGCAGGGGCCTAGCGGCCTAAAGGATCCTTAAGTTCAGCACATGGCCTTGCCCACAGAATGTCCATGAAATAGCCACACTGCCCCCTGCCCCTAGGAAATTTCTCGTACTTTGGCACGCATCAGAATTGCCTGGAGGGCTTGTGAAAACAGAGTAGTGGGCCCCTCCTCCAGAGTTTCTGATTCAATGGGTCCGGGGTGAGCCCTAGAGTTTCCATTTCTAATAAATTCCCAGATTATGCTCATGGTACTGGTCCAGGGACCACACCCGGAGAGCTATTGCTCTAGAGAGTTCCTCTGCCTCTGGGGCTATGCTAAAGGGAGCAGGAGACTGACCACGGCCACACAGGCTCTCGAAATCCTCGCAGCAGTTTCCAAACTTTGGGCAGCGGGCGTTGCAGTGGCATAGGTGGTGCTTGTCGAAGGCTTCCAGGCAGCGGCCCCGGCAGGAGTTGGGTGCCGAGTACAAGTCTGAGAGGACAGAGGGGAGGTGTGTCCTGGGCTGACCTCTAGGGGTCGCTCCCCGCAGCGGCCAGGCCGTGCCCACTGCATGAACCCCACCCCACCCCGTGCCCCGCCCCCCAGCCTTGCTTTCCTGATGCTTCCTATTAAAGAACTCCAGGGAAGGAAAACAAACAAGCCTAATTGGTGCACACCCTTCACAGTCAGGAAGTCCTTTCTGGTGCCAAACTCTACTTTCTGGCCTGTTGTTTTTATAATCTTCCCTCTCTAAAAATAAAATCTCTTCCCCTTCCCTGTCCCTCTCAGCAGGCCTCGGACTCTTTCCTGCCTACCCCCCAGGTCACTGAGGCCCTGGGGCTTCCTCCCTCCCAGACCCCAGGAGTCCAGCGAGCTGCTCTCACCACCTCTAGGTGCTGGATTTGGGGTCCCATCTGGCTTTGGCCTGGGCCTGTGGCCACTCACGTGGCTGCCCCCTCCTCCTCATCCTCTCACGTCCCTCATCTTTATCCCGAAGGCCCCCCTCTGGGGAGGCAGACTCACCACTAGCCGGGGCCCCCTCCATCTCTTCTTCCAGCTCCAGGAATGGCTCAGGCTCATTGAGGTCCTCATCAGCTGTAGGTCAGAGAAGTAAAGTCACCAAACCTCCCCAAGGGGCCCCTCCTCTTTATCACTGATTCTCAGTCCTCCTGGCTTCGGGGACAAGCATGTGCAGTGGAAGAAAATACAAAACAGGGGCGAGGGTACGTTGAGCAAGTACCAGGTGAAGGAGGAGAAAATCTGAAAGTGTAAGACAGGGGGATTGAAAACTGTTCACAGAAGTGAAACAACATCCCCAGGCGACAACCCTCCTTGCCATTCACCCTTCTGGTACCCAGTGTGCTCATCTGTAGAAAGGGGAGGTGGTGGGCAGGAGGTGGTCTCTTCCGGGCTGAAAACTCTGAGGTTGGGATGACTTTTATTTAATGTAAATTGATAGGTGGATAGGCTTGAACTCTCCAAATGACAAGACCCTCACTTAGGAACATCGCTTACCTGTAATAACTCCCAGAGTCAAGGGTGAACTCCTCCCAGGCCTCATGGAATAAGAACTGTTTCCTGAGATACCAGATTCCCTTCTTTCTTCGCAATTACACTTGGCAATGGCCACAAAGGCTGCATTTGGGAATCTTTACGCGCATTCAGAAAAGCACATTCCTATTGCTGGCCCATTCCCTTGCCTGCGAGCTGAGTAACTGCAACCTTGGCTCTGGGCAGAGAAGGGTGGAGCGGGGCTGGGGAGGAAGACGAGGGAATGAATGTTGCTGGGGACTCTGAGCTCCTCTCTCATCACGGAGGGGAATAAATTCTACCCCTACACCACTCCCCCCAAAACCCAACACTATTACAAAGTGTTTCAGAATCTGTCAGCGCGGTCACCAGATAGTATCTTGTTCTTACCATCAGAACCGTGGGGCAGGTTATTCATTCAGTCAACAAACATCTCCTGATCACTTGCTTTCTGCCAGGCTGTGTTTTAAGTGCTGACAGTCCACAGGGTTCTTAACTCAGCCACCGTTTATGCTAAATAGACCTTTGTGAGCTGATCTAGAGCCTCAATCACCATTGATGATATTTTTTCTGTGGGAAAAGGATTCTGAATTGCACATCAGAGACGGTGATGAAATGGCTGCTAGGCTGAGTATCGTCTCTATCTTGAAATGCCAGCCTGATTGTCCGAGGTGCACAGGCCTCCCTGTGTCTGCTACATGGGGCACAGGGCAGCAGAAACGGGTCGGCTCGTAGAAAACAAACTTATGGTTACCGAGGGGGAAGGGGAGAAGGGATAGATTGGGAGATTGGGATTGACATATACAACTACTGTATATAAAATAGATAACTAATAAGAGCCTACTGTATAGCACAGGGAACTCTACTCAGTACTCTGTAATGACCTATAGGGGAATAGAATCTAAAAAAGAGCGGATGTATGTATATGTATAACTGATTCACTTTACTGCACAGCAGAAACCAACACAACATTGTAAATCAACTATACTCCAATAAAAATTAATTTTTTAAAAAAAGAAGGGGGGTTGGCTCTGATTCTGGCACTGAGCTCTGGGCCTGGGTTTCCCTGCCTGGGCCTGATGAGCAGAGCTGCTAGTATGTGTGGTGTTTTTTGTGTCAATTGATTTAGCATTCTTTTGGGTGGAAGTAACTCTGAGGGCACATTGCTGGGCCAGCAGAAACCACTCTTGGGCAAATTAGGAAAAGGTACGCCTTTCTCAGCAGACACAGCTCTTCACCAAGACACATGGCTTAGCGAGAAGGATACAAATTCAACTTTGGTCCAACTCACCTTCTCAACCAGGGGCCCTTGTGCAGTGCGCAACCTGCACAACCATATGCAGTGGTCTTGCTGGCCATTACCTACCATGGGACACACGGTTTGACACACGGTTAGCAAGGCTTCATGTCACAAAGCAGAAGACCATTTATCTGGGAGTCTAAAACATTGGAAGCATCCAAACAAGGGAATTATTCAAAGCGAGTTTTTCAAATTTTAAACTGTGTAGTTGGAGTAGCAGAAGAACAACTGACTTTTGAGGGCGATGCATGTCCCATTTAACCTCTGGCCTGGGAATGACAGGTCAGAGATGCGCAACCACTCAGTCCACTCGCGATAGGAAGAGTGGTATGAATTGTCAGTTACTGATGCCATGCGGTCTTCCTGGTGGCATGCAAGTTGGGAAAGTTCACTACCACTTTTTTACTTTTGAAAATGATAATTGGTAATGTAATGCATGCTAAAATGATATTTTCATTCTTTTGCTTTTTTGGGGAATTACTTAAATTTTCCAGATATTATTAATCCTGGTAGTTCAGACAGATATTCCAGGTAAACGACATCTACTTTATTTTAAGTTGGGGTTTTATGTTGGAGACATCCTAGAATACCCAGGACAAGTGGTGGCCATTACAGCGAGATGCGCATGACTCCATTTGGCCTACGGGCAGTAAAGGTCACAAACTTAGCTCTATGGGGATCCTACTCTCCTCATCAAGGCACCCTCTGCAGAAGGGTTCACAGACAGGGGCAGGAGCCCCACCTGGCAGGGAAGGTCATTGCTAGCTGCCGGGGAGAGGTACGTGCACAGCCTCCCATACACAACATAAGCCTCGTCCCCACCACCCACCACCTGCCACCCACTGACTGATAATAGAGACCAGGATCACAGAGTCAGGTGCCAATCGGGGCTAGACCTGTAACACAAATGAGTCAAGAAGCAGGAAGGCAGTTGAAAGAGGTGGGGACGGTGACAAACCTGGGAACGATGCCCTGCCTGAAACTGGCTGCCACTAGCAGCTCCAGCCAATTGTTGCCATGTTGAGATGCAGGCTCAGTGTCGCCAGAGCCTCCAGTTTTTCAAAAGAAGCTTTCATTTCTATGTGAACTTTTCCAACTTTAAAAAATTCAGACAGACCGAAGAAAGAGGTCTGTGGGCTGGGCATGGCCCAGAGGCCACCATTCACCTGTCACATAGAGGCTGGTGAGTCACCTTCGCTCCAGTGATCCCACCTGCCTTCTCCCCTCTGACCTCTGTCTCTCATCCTGTGTCCCTTTGATGTCTTCTGCTTCTCTGTTCTTCCCTCCCCTTCGTTTGGTCTCCTCTGCACCCTCTTCCCCCCACCGTGTCACGTCTTTCTGTCTCTTCTAGTTTGGGTTAGTTTAGCTCAGGGTGGGGAATGAGGTGGGTTTGGGTGAGAATTGGACTTTGGAATAAGTTCTGTTATGTAACCACAGACCACATCCCTTACTCCAGCCAAATGGCTTGCAGAAGCCAGCTTTTGGTCACAAGGGGCATAAGACAAGAAATTTTGAAAGACATGGTACAAACCCACCAGCACTCCTAAAATAACAAGCCCGCCACAGCAAAGACAGTGGAGGGGGTAGCTGGCTGGGCGCTCTTTCCTTTCACTCTGGGCTTTAAGGGTGATAACAGAGCCTTTGTTTCCATTTGAGGTTCCTGAGGTTTGGATTTAGTGGGTACTGGGTTTAGGGTCAGGCTGTGGGTTACGGAGAATGTCAAGATCAGAGTCAGAGTCACAGTTAACACTGGAATTTGTATGAATGAAGAAACTGAAACCTAACTGGGGCCCGGATTGGGGTGGGTTAGGTTTAGATTAAGAGCTAAAGTTAGGATTTGGGCTTGAGTTAATTATTGGTAAAATAACAATTTGTGTTGCTGTTCGGGTAAGGAAAGGGAATAGGTTGAAAACTGCAGGGTTGAGGAATGTGTCAAGACTAGGAGAGGAGAAATAATCCCAATTTTGCCTTAGCTTAGATTTGGGGTTTGGTCCTGGTTGTGATTCCACACAGGTGTAGCATCGAAATTTAGCCTGGATTGGGGTGGAGGTGGAGAAGAGAGATATGGGTTTAGTCACTGGTTTGCATTCTGGGATTAGGGTTTATACTGTGCTAATGAGGGTGGCACAGCAGAGAGACAAAGAACCCGGACTCTGGCACCAAACTGCTCGAGGCCAGGATTCTGGTTCTTCTGCTTTCTAGCTATATGATCTTGGGCAAGTCATTTGACCTTCTTTGCCTCAGTTTCTTTCTCTGTAAAAGTGTGATAATAATGGAGCCCATCGCATAGTCTATTCATAAGAATTAAATGAGTTCATTTTTGAAAAGCACCTAGGACACCGCATGACACACTTGCACCACTTAGATGTTAGATAAGTAAACAGTCAGTATTCCATGCCCATCTTCCAGGTGGCAAGTGTCCAGACTGGCTGGAGCAGTCTTCCCTGTCTACCTACTCAATCTAGCTGGCTCCCTCCCTGGGTTTCAACTGGGCCATCGCTCGGGCTGGGGTGTCAGCATGTTGATGTTGCTGACAGTTTCTAGCTGACATCTCCGCTATGGGTCTGTGTTGTTTACATCAAGGAGGCGTCAAGATGAACCCAGGTCCTGAGGCAACTTCACACTGTGTAAAGGGCTTCCAGTGTGGCCAGAAAGGCAGATCCAGTGGATTGTCCCTAAAAGAGACCAGGCCCAAGGCCACTTGTCCCTCCAAGCCTAGGGGAACTCCCCCTGAATCTTAAATGATGCTCCCTTGGTGGAACCCAAATGCAAAGACCTTAAGGTGAAGTTTTCAGCCCAGTAGGAAGGCTGTGTCAGCTGCCTGCTCAGTCAGCCTGGCAGTACACCCAGAATCCAAAGGGAGAGAATTCAGACAAATCAGGGCAACGCTCTTAATGGGCCAGATCAGCAGAGTCCAAGGAAGGAATTCACCCCATTCCAGCAGCTGGCACCAGTCGAGAAGGGCTGCAAGTCAATAGTCAGCTCTGTAGAGCTCAAGAGGACGCCGCCCCACTGGCCCTTGGCTGAGTGGACTTTTTCATCTCCGTTCAAGAACTTTGTCCCCAGTAGGAACCCCAGGCCAGGGATCCTTCACACTTCCCTGTACACCTCACCGTGTGCTTCAAGAGGACCTAGGGACTTGAGGGGGGAGGTTAGGAGGGGGAGGGACTTCTCCTCATACGTACCTCCCCGGGCTGCTCTGGGGACACTCAGGTGAGTGTCAGAGTGTCACCCTGACTACTCACTCCAGCGATCCCACCCGGTACCTCCCGTTCATACAAACACTCTGTGTGCACCTCGCTCGCTAGCCAGGCGCCTGAATCGCCGCTCCAGTAATCCTCTGCCCCATCTCTCTGACTCTCTTTCTGCCTTACCCCATTTTGGCCTTTCTTCTCCTGGACAGAGGTACCCTCTCCAGTCCCCGGGAAGAGCTTGTCACCAGCCCCCATCCCTACACGAAATGCTACATTTCTCCGTACACTCCAACACTTCAGTATGCCTGAACACCCAGTCCCTAACCACACTGCCCACCAAGAAACTTGGTCCCAAACCTGGGTGTCCCTATATGCCAGCCCTCAGCCCCTCTGATGGTTGGGGACTCCTACATCTGTGCTTCTCTGGGGGTCTCAGAGGCTGTTTCCGTGGACACCTAGCCAACCAGGTAGATTCACTTCCAGGACCAAATTCCTGCTTCAATTCACTTGAAACAACCAGGGACCTAAGACTGGCTCCCGTGCTATTCATACTCTTGCATCTAAGTTCTGAGATGTTGGCATAGGACAGACAAGAACCGAGCCTCTTCCTCCCACTTCAGGAAAGAAGGAGGCATCACCCACTGGACCCTCTCTTCCCCATCAGTCCCATAGCAGGATCAGACCACCAGCCCCAGGAGCAAGGGCTCCATCTGCCCTTCCGAAGCCACCTTGGCCTCTGCCCTCAGGGATGTCCCCCAAGGATCAAATGTCTCCAGTTGCTCTCCTCTCCTGAGACTGGAATGCCTCAACCCCACACCACTCCTTCACAGTAAGCTAGAGGCTCTCGCACCCTCCCTCACTCCCTACCGAGAGCTCTGCGCCACCCCGGGCCCAGCTCTCTGCCATGTGTGCTGGAGAGGGGGTACACGATCCCATCCAGCGTGGGAGGCCTGGGAATGGCTTTCCCCTCCAAACGTTTTCCATTTAGGAATCCTGTTAGGGGTCTCCTTATCCACAACCTGACTGGAAATGATTCCAAGAGTAAATTTTATGTTTATATAAATTATTTTATATAAATAAATACTTGTTATATTACTAGAATTAATATGTTCTAAATATACTTATAAATATTATAAATGATTTCATATGTATTTATCTTTATAATCATAACCAAAGACCCAGTTCATTGAGATCTCATTCCACGTAGGGGGCTTCTTGTATGTTGTCTTATTTCACCCTTACGACAGTCCTAGGTAGGAAAAACCTGAGTGGGATTCTTTCTCCTTGGGCTGAGGATTCCCCCCGCAT